GTTTTGGCGACATTGGGCGCCTTGTTTGTTGCTGGCAAGTGCCTACTCGGTCTGGAATTTCAATAAGCGAACCCATATTCCTTACACACAAGACAACGTTACAAAATACTGGCGTACGCATGAATAAGTAAAACGACTCTCAACACTTGAAGCTGAAGCCGATGCTCAAGCTCACGCGGTCGTCCTCAACTTCTCTTTCTCTGCTCGTAACAAATACCTTTACATTTATCTCTGTCGAGTGGGAATAAATCATAGTACCCCGCCGAGTCGCTTGCTGTTTAATTGGACAACTACCCATGTAACATCGACCCGTACGTACGAACCTATACACGGGTAATACGATTATAAAATCGCGAAATGTTTATGCATAATCGGTTTCAATAAGGCGATTCCGCCGCTTGCGATGGTACGCGGTGATTTTGTCTACACATTTGTTAATTATTTGAGCATATGGGTGCTCGGTAAGGCATATTCGATCTCAGTGACTGCAGCTCTTTTCACTGGCATACAAATTTGAATAATATTGATGTTGGTGTTCCACAAGGAACTATACGCGGCCCTCTACTCTGCATCAAATATACCATTGTTAATTCCTGTTTGGACGATTGTCTCGTTGTCTCTTTGATGTTGCCACTTAAAGATATGAATTAAAGGCTAGTTGCAAATGTATTGTCTTCAAATATATAGAAAACAGAACTCATAACTTTTGCTATTTAATTATAAAAGAGATTACCAGATGGTTTTAATGATTCTATTGAGAATAAAGTAACTACTGGAGGCCATAGTTCTAAATACTTAATAGATGTTAGTTTGGATAGTATTTTCAAAAAAGTTCGCCTTTGTAAGGTGATTTATGATGATCGAAGATGGCGAAAACTTTCTCGATCGGACACGTGGTAACAATAGAAACGATAAGAGAATTGAACCCTTTTGTATTGGGCGTTCGAGTCGTGATATTAATAGTACGACAAATAGTCTTAAAACCAAAGTAATGACGACCTTAGGTAATGATGACGACGGTCATACTTTTACTCATCGCAAGGTGTACTACCGTCATCATCAGAGCGTTCAACTGGATGGTACGGAGCCACCTATGAGTGCGGTAGCGTCGCGTCGGTGGCAACGAAGAAGGAATCGGCCCTGTTTTCGTTCAGTCCGTCGCGAATCTGCCAATGGCCTACGCGATTAAGTGGTTTATATTTAATTGAAATACACGCCAATCAGTCGAGTGGCACAGGTGCCGTTCAATCACATCTTAATTTCAAGAAAATAAACAATATCAACAATAGAACGGTCGCGACGTGAAATCGAGTTAGAGTCTTTTTCAAGATGGCGACGCGATTCGATTTTGTCGGCCGCGGCTGCCGACAAAGGCGCGCCATTAATTTGTTATGAGTCGATATTCTACACGTTACACGCACGTGATCCGTTTCATTAGGACACAGAGGACGACGCATATCAACAAACGCGACAGAAAACAACTATCGCGTTAGGTATAAGGTAGATATAGGTATACGTAAGTGTACGTACATTGCCTACACTATTCCTACACACGATTTTATATCACGTGTAGACCCTCACTTGTTGATCATTGCGATATGGCTTCAAATCCATCTAATACTAATTCAATTTGTTCTGATGTTATTAAATATAAGGGCGATAAGTCCACAGGAGTTGTAGATCACAAGTAAGAAATTATATGCGATATAAGAACAAAGGCTTTCACGGCCGGAATCCACAGTAGAATGAAGATTCGGTCTCTAGATCACGGCCCTATAGCCCGAATCTTCATTCTACTATACCTAGCTATGTGCGGCTTGAACCGAGCGGCATGGCCCAGAAGTTTAGACCATTCCTTAGCATTCGTGAGGGCGCCGATTCGATTCCGGGTCCGTCTGCCTTGGCCCAAGTTTTTCTGTAGTTTCCTTGGAAAACTTACGCAAATGCTGGGGTAGTAATATTCCATAGATAATCTTTCATTCTCTTCTGTCTTCATTTCGTCCGTCTCATCTTTCTCACCCGAACCACCACCCACCCATTCCCACGATTCCTGAAAGCAGGCTGAAGAGGGCCTTCCGCCCTACCTTCCGGCATAGTCCGGAGGGACTGCCCGCCCACCAGCATTACTGGCTGGTGGGAATGAAACACCCAAAAGTTTTTTTTTTTTTTTAGGACTGGAGACCGAGCGGCATGGCCTAGAGGTTTAGACCATTGCTTAGCATTCGGGAGGACGCCGGTTCGATTCCGGGTCCGTCTGCCTTGGTCCAAGTTTTTCTGTGGTTTCCTTGGATCACTTAGGCAAATGCTGAGGCAGTAATATTCCACAGATAATCTTTCATTCTTTTCTGTCTTCATTTCGTCCGTCTCATCTTTCTCACCCGAACCACCACCCACCCATTCCCACGATTCCTGAAAGCAGGCTGAAGAGGCCCTTCCGCCTTACCTCCCGGCGTAGGCCGGAGGGACTGCTGCCCGCTCACCAGCGTTAGCGGCTGGTGGAAATGAAACACCCAAAAGTTTTCTTTTTGTGACTTGACAAAAATGGTGAAGGCGCCGGGCACAGACATTGAAGACTACGTAAATATCAATGTTAATAGTAGATTCTGAGTGGAGCCCATGGAGTTAACAGCATTGTTAAGAACTTATTACTTATTATTTCACTGACAGGCGCCAGTCTGAAAACTGATCGTCCACGCACCTCCATTTCTACTTGTTTTGGGGGGGGGGGTCGGATTTCCCAGAACCTGGAACACCTAGGTGCTCCTGCTTCTGTGTCTAGGGAGGTGGCATACAATCCTTCCCCTACAATTACTGTTGACTTCCATAGCGCCTCCTGTTTTCACCGAGCGACATGACCTAGAAGGTTAGAACACTGCCTAGCATTCGGGAGGACACCGGTTCGATTCCACGTACCTCTGACCTGGTCCAAGTTTTTTTATGGTTTCCTTGGATCACATAGGCAAATGCTGGGGAATAATTTTTCACTTTCTATGATCTTCATTTCGTCTGTCTGATCTTTCTCACTTCGACCATCACCTATCCATTTCCACGATTCCTAAAAGGAAGCTGAACGGGGTCTTCTGCCTTTACCCTTCGGCGGATTTGAAGGGACTGCCCAACCACCAGCATTAGTAGCTAGTGCGAATGAAACACCCAAAAGGTTTTTAAACGTAAACATCACCAATTTTCAATACTAGATGTTAAGAGTGTTTGTGCCCATGGAGTTAACAGCGTTGTTAAGAACTTAACTTATTATTTTACTGACAGGAGCCATTCTGAAAACTGACCGTTCACGCACCTCCATTTCTCCTTGTCATGATCCTTCTCTTCCCATTTATAAGAAACTGGAACATCTAATCCTTCTGCTTCGGCTTCTAATATGTTTATTTCTAACTATCCGGTCGCATTAGTAGCAGTGTTATTTATTATTAATCATTGGCGCCATTCCGAAGACTGATTGTTCACGCACTTACACTTCGTCCAGACTTGACCCACCCTTTTACATTTTCCAAAAACTAGGACATCTAGGTCTTCACCGTCCTCCTGCTTCAGCTTCTATCTTTATTTATATCCGGTCGTGTTTCAGAAGACGGCATACCATCCTATCGCTGCTTTCCCTCGTTGACTTTCACAGCGACTCCTCCTTTCACTGAGCGGCATGACCTAAAGGCTTAGAACACTGCTTAGCATTCGGGAGCACACCGAATATTACACGTACTTCTTCTGGTCCAAGTTTTTCTGTGGCTTCCCTGGATCACTTGGGCAAATGCTGGAATGTAATATTCCACACAAATTTTCACTCTCTACGGTCATCATTTGGTCCGTCTAATCTTTCTTTCTCCAACCATCACTTACCCATTCCCACGATTCATAAAAGGAGGCTGAAAAGGGTCTTCTGCACTATGCTCCTGCGTATTCCGGAGGGATTGCTCATCCATCAGCATTAGTAGCTCAAACTCCCATAAGCTTTTTAAACGTCATCAATGTCATTATTAGACGCTATGAGTGTTGTTAAGACTTTGGCTTATTTATTACTAATTGTGCCCCATTCTGAGGACTGATTGTTCACGAACTTAGACTTCGTCCAGTGTTGACCCACCCTTCGCATTTTCCAGATATTAGAACATCAAGGTCTTCTTCTGTCCTCCTGCTTTGGCTTCTAATGTGTTTGTTTCTAACTATCCGGTCGTGTCTCAGGAGACGGCATACCATCGTCTCTGTTTTCCTCCTTGAGTTCCATAGTGCCTTCTCTTTTCACTGAGCGGCATGACCTGGAGGTTTATAATACCCTTTAGCATACGAAGGACACCGGATCGATTCCACGTACCTCTAACCTGGTTCAAGTTTTTTCGTGGTTTCCTTGGATCACATGGGCAAATGCCGGGGAGTAATATTCCACAGATATTTTTTCACTTTGTACGGTCCTCGTTTGGTCCATCTAATCTTTCTCACTCCAACCTAACCTACTCATTCCCACAATTCATAAAAGGAGGCTGAAGACGGTCTTCTGCACTATCCTTCTGCGTGTTTCGGAGAATCTGCCCGCCCACCAGTATTGCTGGTAGTGTTGTTTGGAATTGATCTTATTTATTATGAATCATAGGCGCCATTCCGAAGATTGTTTGTTCACGCACGAACTGTCGTCCAGACTTGACCCATCCTTCACATTTTCCAGAAACTAGAACATGTAGATCTTCCTCCGTCTTCCTGCTTCGGCTTCTAATATGTTTGTTTTTAACTATCCGGTCGTGTCTCAGAAGACGGCATACCATCCTATCTCTGCTCTTTTCTTCCTTGACTTCCATAGTGCCTTTTCTCTTTTCACTGAGCGCCATGACCTGGAGGTTTAGAACATTGCTTGGCATTCGGCCGACTTCGGCTTCGTCTACCATAGTCCAAGGTTTTCTGTGTTTTTCATGACAAATGCTTTTAGATTAATATTGTAATTTAGAATTTCAACCGTTCTTCTCTCGTACTGGACTAACTGTAATTATTTCCAGGTCGTGAGGATGAGAGCGATACCGAATCAGAACCTGGGATTCCGCTAAAAAGAAAACAGCGTCGATCTCGAACCACGTTCACTGGAGAACAGCTTGAAGCACTTGAAAGAGCATTCAGCAGAACTCAGTACCCAGATGTTTATACGCGTGAAGAACTAGCACAACAAACTGGATTAACAGAAGCCAGAATCCAGGTAATTAATTAATCTTTACCACTATTCCTTCAATGATAAAAACCTGACAAAATATCCATCAACATTGTTCCTTCTACCCGTCAAAATTTGACGCACTGATGTGCGATTGTCTCTCTCTCTCTCTTGTTTTATGTTGGTATTCGGGAACAAAAAACTCGATACTTTTGGATCGCACTGTACACAAAAAAATCCAGTTCTGGTCCCCTTGCAATTTACGTCATTCGTTTCGCCTAGATTCGTTCGTTTATCGTAACAAAATAATTTAATTACGGCATACAAAAGGTTTAGTTTATTTTAGCACCTTTTAAAAACGAGAAAAACCTGATAACAACGCGTTAAATTAAAATTGGCAATATTATTTGCCGTTTTCATTAACAAACCAATGATAACGACTGCAATAATAATAATTACTTTATTGTTTCATTGAATATTAATCAATCAGCTTTTGCCATCATAATGGAAAGTTTGACATTCCGTGACCAAAGGCCTCTTTACATAAAAAAATAAAAACTCATATGAGAATTGGAATTTACAGTACCTACATTACAATTGGTATCTGTAGTATGAGAATAGTGTATTTGAACGGCAAAGTTGCCAAAAGGAGTTGGTCGACTATAGTAATTCCCCCTGAATCCAAAAATCATTGTGCTTTTGTCTTCATTGTTACCCCAGGCTCTTCCTTGGCTTCCCTGTCTCTTGTTATCCACTCAAACGCTGATCCCATGGTAGTCATCATTCTCAGGTATTTCTCAAGATCGCCAGGTTTTGTTGTCTTTCAGGTTTGGTTTTCGAACAGAAGGGCTCGTCTTCGCAAACACACGAGTAGCGGAGGTGGTGCAGCTCTCAATTTTCCTTCGATATCGTTTGGCAATGTCGCATGTCAGTACACGACCTCGGACGGTATCCAACACGATTGGAGAAACTCGCAATTTGCCAATTACAATAACATGTTGCAACAGGCGTCATTCGGTAGCGGTGGTCACCATCATTCTTCGGACATTAGCAAGACTGATTATTCGGCTATTTTCGATGCTAACTACGCCATGGCGCAGGCGCAGGTTCACGCAGCTCATGCGGCCCAGGTCCAAGCGTCTCAAAGTGGCCACGCGCATCCGGTCAATTTGCATACTGTAAACGTTAAAGCGGGTAGTGACGATAACAAGGGTGGTGCGCACGCCGATACCGTTCAGCAACATTCCGCGGGTGCGACGCCAGCTTGGAACAAAAATGGCGACTGGAATCATCTCCCTATGAACTTGCAAGTCGAAAATTTGGCCGCGTATGGTACAAACGAAATGTTCGGGCAGGCGCAGTACAATAGCAGTGCTTCTAAAAACTATTGGATGTAACGCTTGTTTAAGGAACTCATTGTGGTATTTTTTTTTTGTGATGCAATAAAGGTAAAAAGTTGTTGATTTGTTCTGAGAAACACCAAGATGTATAAAGACCCTTCGTCGCCTTCTAGTTATTAGAAAACTTTCTCCCTTCGAATTTCGAATCGTAATTAACAGAAAAATTGGTTCTTGTCCTTTAGTACTTCAGTCAATTCCCCACCGGTCGTTTTTACTTGAAATTTACACATTTGCATTCTTGAACTGAATTAAGTAATAGAATATGTTTAAAACGCAAGAGGTAAGTGTATTTTATTTTAAATAAACTATTGCTTTAATTCGTATTTTGTGATAAAAAAGGCGGTCAAAGAAATCAAAATATGCTCAGATGTTTGCATACTTTCGGAGTCAGTTGTGCACTACTGACGCATTCTGTGTTCGAAGCGCATATGAAGGTTTTTTCGTTTAGTTTTTCCTCGAGGAGGAAATTTTCAAAAGACACCACCTGAAGGGGGGTTGTGTCGGATTCGCCGAAGCGCCTACCGATTAAAACCCCTCTTCGAGTAGAGAGATCAACCAGGTAGTTATACATCCCGGGGAACGTTCTGTAGAAAGAGGTTGAAAGCGGGAAAGAGAATTCAGTGTAGGAAAGGAAGCTTATGAATCCTAAAAAAAAACTTTGGGTTTTTCATTCCTATCAGCCACTAATGCTGGTGGGCGGACTACGCCGGAAGGTAAGGCGGAAGGCCCACTTTAGCCTCTTTTCAGGAATCGTGGCAATGGGTGGGTGGTGGTTCGGGTGAGAACGATGAGACGGACGAAATGAAGACAGAAGAGAATGAAAGATTATCTGTGGAATATTACTTCCCAGCATTTGCCTAAGTGGTCCAAGGAAACCACAGAAAAACTTACACCAAGGCAGATGAACCCCTAATCGAACTAGCGCCCTCCCGAATGCTGAACAATGGTCTAAACCTCTAGGCCATGCCGCTGGGTGCATATGAATCTTTTGTTTTTTATTATTCTGGAGGAGGGGAAATCTCAAAAAGATACTCCCTGAAGGGAGGTAGTGTCGAATTTTTACCGACTAAAACCCCTTCTCGAGTGGGGAGATAAACCCTGAGGGTTACTCATCCCCGGGAGAGGGTTGAGAAAGGAAAAAGGTTAAGCGTGAGTGGATAGGGGGTGAGAATCGTCGGAATAGGGACTGAATCCCATGTTGCTTTACTTTTATACAATATGCTTCCCCCTTTACGTCCCCGCTTCTTCGCTCCTATAGACTGTAGAACTGTGATACATGACTTAAAACTTAAAAGAAGGATTCTCTTTGGTATTTAGTGATAGGTATTGAACAAAAAAAAACAAAGAAATAATATACCACTCCATTTATTAAGTATATGAATAAATATTTAACATTAAATTACATTAATAATATATATATGTATATAATAGACACTTTAAACAAGTTTTAGGCAAATTTGTAAAATAACACGATTAGGTACAGGTAATATTTATAATTATTATTATTGTCTAAGTTACAAGAATTATTATTGTCATTCTTTGCAGCTGATAAAATGCTATATTGTCTTACACAGCGGCCTCTAGTTTACCGTTTGATTTTATTGTCAACAGTTAATTTGAAAGTAGAATATCAATCGCAATAGATAAGCATTATATAATTTTATTACATTTTCGGTCTTAACTGCTAAAAATAAAAATTCACCGTCTATTCCAGTGTATTGTCTAGCTGGAAGAATTGGGTTTGCCTTTTTCAAAATTACATTCAAAAATATAACACCTGTATAGTCAAAGATTCTTATTTATACGTGTAAGTATATAATAGTATGAATATTCTGTATATACCAAGAAAATATAAATTACGTTTATAAACATCTTGATATAGGAAAGTCGGAAAGTCAATAGCTTACATTAATGGCAACTGTTTTTGCCAATTAGTATGATTCAAATATTTTAGAGTGTTCGTTCATTAAAGACAATCGATTTTACCCAATAAGTAAATATGATGAAATCCTACTAGCAGCCCGGTAAATGGTACCCATGTGTGATACGATGGTACATTCAATTTCAGTATGTTCAACAATGTCTGTCACACAGATGGATATCTACTTGCTGAATTGAGCCCACTACGTAGCTAAAAGTGAATTCAATTCAACAAGTAGATATCCGTCTATGTAAATGGATCTTCCACTAAATGTATCATTGTACTACAGGTGGCGTTTACCGCGCCGTTTGTAGGACTTCATAAAACGCTGCTGTCTCGAGGCAGTCTGTGGTCTGTATTCTGTCGAAACCGTCTGCGATCCGCGTCTGCCAGTTTCGGCAGAATATTGACTACCATGAACTTCAAGTATATATGATAATAATTATTTTAGTATTCATCTATTATATGTTGAAGTTGCAACAGACCCTTTCGTCGTATATTATTGTTGCCATTACCACACGTATGATACCTACACTTATCTTTAGAAATACCAAATATACTGGCTGGCCATTTAGATCATTTGCTAAACTACAGTCTTACTCTAAATGATAATGTTGTATTGATATTCTTGATTGTTTCAATCAGATTACGCGTCAAGGAGGTACTCTTAAAAATATATTTAGGTAATCACTCAATAAATAATCAGGTTCAATATTGATGTAAAGATATGCATAAAATTTCAGGTGATATGATAACAAATATGTTATTGTATTTTTATCAAAGATGCGATTCTACTGGTGGGTTCTCTTTATGATGCTTTGATACTTATTAATTATTATTGTAAAAGGGAACTTTTTTTGCGAGGAATTCCAATGTTTTATTTCAGTTCTATTGAATTCATTAAGTATCTATCTATTGTTCGTTCTAAATAGTTCTTTCGTCTGTTAAAAAATAACTTTTTCTGTGTAGAAATTACAAAAAACTTATTAAAAGGGAAGGTTTTTATTGAGTTTTTGGCCTAGATGACGAGTACCTCCTTAATAGTATGTTGTCTACAGCTGGAATGAGAAGGAACCGTTTGTCATTTAACGGAATCGCGTTTTTGGAGAAGTAGTAGTCTTCGGTTTTCCCATTTGAGGAAGTCTTCCTGTATATAAAACATCAAAAAAATATATTATATATTATTAATACAAATATTATAGACAGAAAACAGAGGGGCGATAGGTAGAATTAATGGGCGATTTAAAACTCAAATAACAAATCACATCACATAATTGATATCAAGTCAATCAAGATAACGCTCTCTATCATGTATAATTGATAATTGGTAATTGAACATTGGTGTTGACAGTTCAATGATTGGTACAATCCATAAATAATAAGAACAAAGATGTACAATTGATGACTTAATTGGTAGCATCCCAAAAACGGGACTGAAATTCACTAGAAGAATTGAAAATCTTGAAATCGCCCATTTATTCTATCTGCTGCTACCGTTTGCTTCAATGTCTTCTAAAAGTTCTAAAAGGTCAAGGAAGCGGGGTTTTTAGTCCTCGACCTTATTCAAAAAATAAATTTAATGAAGCAATCTAAGTACTACTAACACCGGAAAGTCGAAATAATTGGCAATGATTCATATAGAAACGTACAAAACGTAACAATTTGCATCCTAAATGGGATGAAGCCACTTATTTATAAAAACTACCCGCCAATTTCCGGTAAGTCAATGCATCCCTAATTATAAAAGTTACAATGTGCTTCTGTATCCTTTAGATTCCTTCCCCGCTGGGGTCTTTACGCTCAATAGGTATTTTAGGTATGAATCATTGCCTGTCCGTTTTAAACACATCGCGGTATAGTATACAATTTCTACAATGACTAATACTTACTCTACTTGTACCTACTATAGCTACTTCACATGCATCAACAAATTATTAAAATAGGTCCACATGTAAACCAAATTGGAGACAAACTGGTAAAGGCTTTTCCAATCATCAGTTGATGAACTGATGCTCTCGTGTTTCTGGTCTAAAAGCCGTAGTCGGTTGGAGTTGCCTCCTAAAGTTTTGCTAGCTCGAGTGGACAGTCTACATCCAGCAACCAAGGACGACCTTTAGACCTGAATCAGTACAGTTTCAGTTCAATTGGATACTTTTACCAAAGCCTATCTTTAAATATTGCCTAGGCAATTTAGAAACTTTCAGGGAGGTGTGACGTGGAAACGGTCAGTAGAAGATGTTCGGGTCATGCTGGTGCACCGAACTAAAACCCAAAAGAGCTTGGGTTTAACGACTGATTTTAGAAAACTCTCGATATATCGGAATAGAATGATACTTCACAATATTATGGAACCACCAGGTGTCTTTCTATTCCAATCTATTTTAAAATGATTCCCCGAATGGCAGACTGAATCGTGATTAGTTGATTTTATATTGATAAGTGGATGAACATTAGTGGATGGAATTATGAATTCCTTAAAATAGAACTTTCGAGTTTGAAAGTTTGGAAAACATCATTCGAAGTACGTTTAAATGGGGCACGTCTAATGGATTTTGGAAAAAGCTTCAAACACCTGCTTTCTAAGAATTTTCCAATGCCGAATGTAATCCGATTACGTAAGACGTGGAATTTAGAGATACCAAACGTAGATATGTAAACATTGATATTTTCCATAGTCTATAAAAATTGCATGAAATATTTGTCACAGAAGATGATCTTAGTATATCTTAAAATCCTAACATATTGGATCATCTATTTTGAGGCTCAGACTTGTATTCAGCATTGAGAAATTGTTAGGAAACAGGCATTTTCGTATGATCGTAGATTGCCAGAAAATATCCTTGAAGCTACCAAACTGTTAATCGATTAAATGAAAACTATGAGCCTATGAATGAGATGACCGATCATTTAAATACACTTAAACTACTACAAATAGTTTCTAGAACAACTTCTATTCAGATTTTTACTTCGTTTAAAACAAAAGCGTAACTACGATAGACAATGAAACATCAATCTACGGGATATTCAACTACTCTGTAGTAAGTACGTACTACTACTGTTGGGAATCAAACCTTTGACACGGCGGGCATTCGTCGGTTGCCGACCGTCCGGATCTATTGAATCTTCGGACGTTTCTGAATGCCGGCAACCAACCTAAGCGCGCCAACGATCCAATATGCCTTTTATCTGGCGAACGATATCTCGTCAATGTGGAAGGCCAGTTGTTTCGCACAATAGAACCTAATCAACACACTGCATCAGGAAGCCAGTAGGTTGATGATTAATTACATAATAATCTCTCTCTCTCTTTCTTTCCCTTTCTATTTCGCGCGTAGTGTTTATTCTTCTGTATGTACGCATATACTGAGCTAACCGTCTATAACGCAACTCAAATAGTTGAGTATTTTCTTTTAAATATATTTATATAATAAAGATAAACTGATTGACTGCACAGCTCAAACTCCTAATGAGTATAGAGCTTCGACCATACTATAATTTGCCCTTCACTGACGTCATTGGTACCAGCGCATTTTGGCTTCACCATTCGAAACAAACAACGTGTCTAGTATATTACAGTAAAAGCTCTTTAGAAACCATGGATATGGAATGGTAATTAGTATGGAATCATAGGGGATACGTTCTAAGGTTCCAAAATAACAACAAATATGTATCAAAATAAAATCAATGTATTGTATTGATAAATTTTATCTTGTTTTGAATTTGGAAATTAATCCACTCGGTTACATCTATTATAAAAGTCGCCTCGGCACGAGCCAATAGTACTCAAAAGATGCTGATACATTAAGGAGATTCAGTGGTACACGCGCCATGGAGTAAAAACATGCTTATCGCTTCTAGATATCATGAGTTTAATATTTAGAACAGAGGTTTGAAATTTTGTAGTAAGATAGAAAAAGCTTTGTTCTAAATCTTGTAGAAGGACATTTTTTAATTTTTTAATCTCTATTGAAAATACGTGTCCTACAAGAAGCATCAACTTTAAGCACTTGTAAAAGCTTTTAATGACCACATTATCGAAAACCAAAAACGTATCGAGTTAGTGTGAACCTTAGTCTGTTACTATACAAAAAATTAGATATTTATCTCGCAGCATTAAATTACAATGTTTAGAACAGAAACTCATGTTTTCGGAAAAATTCATACTAGGAACGAGCGGTCTATTGCGGTCAATCCCCTTAATAAATGACGACGAATCCTTTTCTGTTTACCGTTTGAAATTAAATTTTTAACCGCGAATACAGGAACTGGGTTGCAATTTTTTCGTCCGCGAATAATGAAAAGGCGAATAAGGAAACCGTGAATAAGGAACTTTTACTGTATATGGTCGAAGGTCTAGAGACTAAGAAAAGTTTTTTTTTTATATTGAATCCCTTAAGGAGTTTATTATGATAGGCACTGATATCCCCCCATATAAATACCCTTTTGGTTATAATGGGTCAACCATCAACCAAATTCTAGGTTATATTGCGATTTTCGTTATAGAGATGGTATTAATATATTTATTCCTATTTAAATTGAATCCCTTAAAGAATTTATTATGATAGGCACTAATATCCCCCCATATAAATACCCTTTTGGTTATAATGGGTCAACCATCAACCAAATTCTAGGTTATATTGCGATTTTCGTTATAACAGTGCTATTAATATGAAGACGTCAAAAATTGAAATAAAAATTTTTATAGAACAAACAAAATAGCTCAAAGGTTACCTTCTTCAGTTCACTTCAGTCCCTGAAGAAGGTAACCTTGTTACCGTAAAGTACTTCAGACAACTACAGTGTCGTGTTTTGGCGCTGGGGTTTTGAGCTATTTTGTTTGTTTTACAACAACCGCCAAAGTTTTTCCAATCTTCATATTAAAAGTTTTTATAAAACAATTACAATTTAGTAAATTGTCTTTGAAACGATTGTAAATTTAGATCAAGTGCCTCATATTAATAAATAAAATCAGTTGAAAAATTAATATAGATAAGTGATTTTGTTTCTTTTATGTCATTTATCAACCGTGTTGTTCTTATTTTTAACCATTTTCCTTCAAATATACACAGCAAAAAAGTTAAGCATTAAATTGTCAAATCAATAGCTTAATCCTTGGCATGACAACCTTCGATTTCTTTTGCCCACATCGTTTCGTCTCATTCGAAGCACTTACAATAAGTAATAAGTATTTCTGAAGAATTCACCGAGAAAATTTCTTAAAAGCTCCTTTCAGCTACTAAAGAAGCTTTATGCTCGTGGTATATTTGTGGCTCTTTGAGAACAGCTTTTTTTATATGTTTGTTTCGTGGAAAACGATTTTCGTTTAGCATCAGACCATTTTATTTAAAAAACTGATTTTGCTATCAACAAGATACGTCTAACTAACTAAAAAACACTCACCTAAAAATCGTTTGTCTTCAATCGGATAGATGTCGTTCAGTTCCTGTATCAACTCCTCGTAATCTACAACATTATCATCTTCGTTCTGGTTTGTGTTTTGCTCATTATCGTCAAAATAAGCGGCCATTCTTTTGAATCGTACTACCTCATCGTTGTCATCATTATCCACGTTGTTAGATCCGTCCTCTACAGATCTCTTAAATCGATAGGGATAATGGCTTTTAACAACTGACGCTAAGTTACGTTTCTCTTCCAGTTCGTCGTAACCAGGAACGGTGTCGATTCCAGACAAATAATCGCGCACATGTGCTCGCTTACCTGGAAGCAACCCGCTTCTAGCAATCGATGCCACGTTTCTCTTTCCGTAAAATTCTGGAGCGAATCTCTTTCCGTAAGTCGGAAAGTTGAAATCACGCTCCAGGCTCCCTATACCCTTTTTTGTTGGGACTTCCGGGTTCTGATCGTCGCTTTTATTCGGCACTATCAATTCCCCATTACGTGCCAGTGACTCGATACTTCGTTTCGAGGAATCGACTAATTGAGAGTAATAAGGAAACTGACCGGAACCCATGAAGCTTCTCATGCCAGACCTGAATGCCTCCTGTGGTTCATCATTGTAACTGATATCTTTGATGTTTCTGATGTAACCTCCTCGGGCCAATGACTCAAGACTGCGCTTATCATTGCTATTATCATCCACTTGGTTGTGAAGATGCTGCTCGAGAAGACGCGCGAGCTGTTGACGAAGAGCCTGGACTTGAAGAGACTGAGTTTCGGTGGGAGATACAAGAGGATGTAGAAGCTTCTCAAGTTCACACGACGATAAGGGTTGTTTCGAAGGAACTTCTTCTAATTTTACCTGCAACAATACAGAAGAAACGTTTAAACGAATTGTCAAAATGGGAATATATATTCGATGATGCATTGCAGGTAAAACCATCAAGAAAACTCTAAGTGTTTCAAGCGAATTCTAAAATAGTAATAAATCAAGCTCTTTAATACCATCACGTAGTGCCCCGTAAAAGCTTTTATCGAAAACCACTCCATTAAAAACCATAGAAGTGAACACTTTCAGTGGGAAAAAATTTAATCCACTTCCACTCATCGTTAAAAGAAAATGGCTGTATTAAAACCAGCAAATGGAAGTCTTAAACTTATGCGAAATCGTAAGCTTAATGGATTATAAAGGGTTCATCATATAAAAGATGGTCTGTCTGCTTTGGGACATTTTTGTAACTAAAGTTGCAATTGTTTTGGACATTTGGAGCTTTGTTATAGACTATCAACCATAAAGGATTTAGTTACAAAATTAATTTATTATATCCATACTTTGTGTCAAATGTACAAATAAATAAATATGATTTTTACTACTATTAACAGGGTTGTTTTTGATTTGGCATCTTTTGCACATCCTCCAGCTTTTGACCATATACAAGTTGAAATTTCATAATTTCTATTTCATCAATTCCTCTTATTGGATTCAATGGTTGTTGTTCAGCAATCCAACTGTTTTATTAGTTTCGATTTGAATGGCAAAGTGCTTTTTCAAACGTTCAGAGCTGACGTAACAGAAAACAATTGCTTAGGAGACGACTGGAACGACCGTCAGTTGTAATTCTTCGGAGTTGCACTTGGAAAAAGCAATAAAGCTGCTAGAGCAAACACGCGGAGTGAGCAATATTGGCGGGGTGCGCTAGGTTAGAGGGTGGACTAAAACGTATAAGCAAAACGAAAGTGGAATACAGTATTCGATTGACATGGGGATTAAATGAAGTGAAGGGGTTTTCGAATTCGCTGTTGGCCTAAAATAAATCCTTGTCCTACAAACGCTTGGCTGCTTCTGGAAATTGGACAGGAAAGAATAACAAATTGGTTTTATGCTTGTTTTAACAACGAGATTCAGATTGGAAAACCACAAGACAATACCCAGTTGAATTCACAATTGATGTTTCGATATAATGTCAAAATAGTCGTTCAAACATAAACCTTATTATACAGTTCGAAATTTAACATTGTTTTAATGTCACTAAATCAGAATTTGAAAGAAAAATATGAAGACACTAGAATAATTCAAGTGTCCCTTTGCTTTTATTGACTAATTGAGCAATATTTGCGGCGAATCACTTGATTTATACATTAACAAATAATCCCTATACGTCCAATAAGCTGACTGAGTATTTTTCTGTCAGGAGGCTAACTTTAAAACCATCAAATATCATTTTTGGTTAATGATACCATTCCAAAAAGGCGTTTCCGCCCCTTTTTGAGTTGGATATCGTTGGATAATGGAAATTGAATAAGTTTTGGAAAAATTGACATAAAACGGTTTTAAGAAGAGGTCACAATCTCGTAATCTCCAAAAGGTGACGTTAATACAGTCTACAATCATTTGCTGTGCAATTGTTTCCGTTATAATCCATTCCAATTGATCCAAAAGTGAGCTCTATAATTATTTCGAGTGAAAGACGAGCGCTTTCTTTTCCTTTTTCTTTTCTTTTATTTGGAAAGTTTGTTGTGGTCCCAATTCCCACCAGGGGAAAATGTCAGTCGCCTACAAAAAAGTACCATTCCAATTCGTTCCTTTTCTGCAACTAATCCGCGGTGTTCTCCCGTTTCGCCATGGCCTACTCAACGATCGCCGACTACCGCGTTATCTCATCCGCTGCGGACGATGCGGCGATATAGCTAATTATATTTTCGCCATTCCGATGAAGAAGCACCTACAGAACGCGGGGCATGTTGTTTCGTGTCGCGATCCCTTGTTATTAGCATAATGACCAAGTAATGCCGGTGTATTTTGTAAATTTAATGGAAGCCTTTGCAGCATGTTGTTACCGGTAATGCTGCCCGTGTTACGCGGAATAAAAGACCTGCTACAGCGTCCGTAACAGAGAAGATGGCATGGATCAACCGGATATCGCACGAAACCATTGTCTAATTACAACCATCATTGGAAAATCCCGAGCGATCATGAAAAAATTGCAGGGAGTTGAGATACACAAAGTTACCGTAACTTTTTAATCTATGTTTATGTCGAAGATGCTGCCGTAATATTTTATTAAAAACCTTAGCATGTTGATGATGCACTAATTAGACAAGAGTTTGAAATATTCTTAAATTGACAAATGGGCGTGAGATAGGAGATAATATAAACATTGGAGACGAAAAACTAGAAGTAGTCGCCGATTTTAGATATCTAAGAATCCAGATGAAAAAATTGTCAGAGACGTAGTACAAAGCATAGCGCAGGGTAGTCACTTTTCAGAAAACGGAAACACCATGGTAAGAAAAGGTTAGAAATGGGCTGGTAACAATACGTGTAGGAGAACAAATGCGGTAAGGAGAGATAGGTATAGTAGTACACCATTTTAAACAAGAAGAGTCAGTTAAAGACTTATAATTAGAAGCAGAAAAAGGAGTAGGGAGAGACAGAGGAAGACTTAGATTAGATCACGCATTTAGTTAGGAATGCGGGATGTTCTATTTTGCAAAAATTAGCTCAAGATAGGACTAGAGTGAAGATGATTGTGCGTTTGGGCTGAAATCCTTATGATGATGACGATGATGAACATAATGACATTAAATAAAATAATTCGAAGTGGTCTGTATTCTGTCGAAACTGCCAGACGCGGATCGCGATTTCGATCTTTTTGGATCTCATCAGCGCGTCGCAGGCAGCTCCGACAGAATACAGACCAACTTTTACCTGCTGTCTTAATCCAAATGAGATCCAAAAAGATCGAAATCGCGATCCGCGTCTGGCAGTTTCGACAGAATACAGACCACTTCGAATTATTTTATTCGATTATGGTAACGTGCCTACCACGTTGAGGTTAGCTACGCCGGGATTCGTTTCAGCAAGTAGATATCCATATATTTAAATGGACCTTATTGGAGCATACGTAATCCTAAAATGTAGCATGATACTACAGATGGCGTTTACTGCGCCATTTGTAGTATTTTATAATTACATTAAACTCAGAATGTACATGAAAATACTACAGATAGGACGGGCACCCTATTTGGATCTGGTACCCAACGGAGTAACAGATAGCAGAGCCGGGTACCTGACTGTAAGGATAACCATATCAAATAAAGTACCAATAATAAGTATAACAAAATCATACATTTTCGAAAAAACATAATCTGACTTCGAAAATTTGCAATCAGAATTGTTATGAGAACAAAGAGATCGGATAGTCAATTACTAGATAGCAAGCAAGGGGAAGGGGGTAAACTATGCACATCGTGACATCACTGTAAGAAGTAATTTTATCCCTGATGGCGGATATTACCTAGTCGGGTACGTAGTATGACTAATGCCGGGTATTTCTAATAAATCAATCGCAAAAATGGATCAAGTTTTGCTGAAGATTTTCTGACATTAATTTAAGCGTTGCTTTTCAATATTTGACAAACCTTTTAGAAACTGCCTTCAATATTCCCAATACCTTTGGCAATAATTAAATCAATCTTCCACCTTTTCTGACACGAAGATAAAGCAATACAAACGACGATGCTAACAATAAGATGGAGTATAAGTACATTTCCGCGAAATACACCTTATTAGTTGACGCGCCGCGTCAATTTACGCTCAGTGATCGGAAGGTTCTGCTGTTAACGAAATTAAATTGAAGCCTTGGCTCGAATATGCGAATAATTGAATTCTGGAAGCTTCAACGACAATTTTGCTAACCGTGTACAGGTACAGTAGACATTCATACATAGATAAAAGCTTCATCAGCAACAACATCAGGTACAAATTTAGCATTAAATAGGCGACGGATTCTAGAAACAAAATTGAAAATCTGTAATCAGGTGCGTACGTTATTTTGCTCGCTTTCAAGTTTTATGGATGGTAAAAGAGGAAAAGAAAAAATGATAGAATGTAAAAGAGGATGCTTCTTAAAAATATTTAATTCGGAAAACACGAACAATAAACACGTAACTAAAGTTTATTTGAAAGTTGGGCAAAAATTCCAATTTACTCAATAACAGTAATGTTCATAAACTGAACTTTTTCAAATCTTATGAATATGAGTATGCAGGAGACGAAAAATTAGAAGACGCGGTCGATGTTCGGTATCCAGGAAGTCAGATAACTCAGGATGGAATAAGGAGCAGTAGAGATAGTAAACAGAGGATAGTGCAGGGTCGAGGCGTTTTCAACACAACAAACATCTGATGGAACACTGTGCTGCATGGGTTCGAAACATGGACAATGGGCGCGATGGAAAAGAAAAGGTTAGAAGCGTTTGAAATGTGGTGTTATAGGTAAATGATGAGGACACCTTTTCAAGCATGAAGGGTTAGAGACAATTAGAAGCAAGAGGAATAGAGGTAGACCAAGATTAGATTACACTGTAGAAATAGTTAGAGATGTGGGATGTCGTAGTTTTAGGGAAAAGCGAAGATTAGCTCAGGATAGGAAAGAGTGGAGGCGCGTGTCCAACCAGTCTTAGAACTGACGACCTTATAATGAAGATGATTATGGAGTAATCTTTTAATGGTTTAAAGATTCAATTTGAGCTAATATATACCTTTTCGTTTTTAACTCTAGATGTCTAGATCATCTGCGCCCCATTCTTTCACAGTACAGATAAGGGAAAAGCTCACCAAACATAGAGATTACAGGTTTCACACAAAATGTGTAATTTAGTGAACGCCTAGTGTATACACATATGTATTTTTTAACCGTATGTCTATCGAAAAGTATCTCCTGCTTCTCCGAAAACTGTCCTAAACAAACAGTTTTTGCCTTCTTTCTATTTTCAATTTAATAGTCCACATATAAAGTATATTGGTACCTCAGGGGGTTGCTCGCATTCATTTTCTTCAAACAAAAATGTTTTTAAGAGATATTATTATCCATACACATTAAGGTCAATTACGTGAAGCAAAAACTGTGATAAGATTCCATCTAATGGTTTATATTGATCTCTCTACTATACTATAAACCATAATAGCGCTTAATGTTTCGTCCCGTTACGTTATTATTACTGCATTCTAAAAATGATTAATGATGACTTTCTTTAGTTAAAGACTAAACCGTTTCTTTTGACGATTACTATAATAGTAAGTCAATTTCATTGTTTTTTCTTTTGTATACGAAGGAGAAATGTTCAACAAAAGTTGATTTATGCATTGGCATTTTCACTATCGAAATAACAAACTCCTTTAAACTGAATTAAGTAATTAATTAGAGAACCAGAATTTAGTTGCTCTTATTCTCCCAGTATGGAAATTTCGCAATTAGACAAGCTTAGGAGATGACGAAACTAAAGGAATTGAAAAACTTGATGAACAACGTTTGGACAAATTACAGCGTTGTTTTGCTTAATTGTTTCTAAGGATGCCCTCGCTTTTAAATTAGGCCCCGCTTGAAAAGGTAAACAATATGGAACATTGTTAATGTAGGACATTAACCACCAAACTCGTTACTCAAATTAAATGTTTTTGAAGTGGCGACCAAAACAAAAAGAAGACAACGATAAAAGGAAAATGAAATTCAAGTTGTAAAACACTAAATGCTTTTTGTTACAAAGTTAATATAAAACATATTCGTTCACCGTGAACAATACGTTAGACACATTGCCTTGCAGCAATATAAAGGTCATTTAGCCAGTGCTGCCTTCCCTTGAAGCAATTCAACGGTTGTTCAACCAATTACTTAGTAAACCCCCCCTTTGGTCATTTCAGTCGTTTGCTTTGTTGAAAAAAAATTTGTTCATTACGACGGCTACCTTACAGCAGTGTAAGACTCATTCAGCCAATTCCTTACGCAATATTACTCGTTTCGTTGTTAAAAAATAACATAGTATACACAATTCCCGTTGTCTTGCAGTAATATAAGTGTCATTTAGCCAATTTCTTTGTAATCCTTCCTTGGCCTCTATCATTTTTTCTTTTTCCTGTTTTCTAACTATTTGAATGTTTAAACTTCGTTTGTTGCGAGCGCTGTGTTGTATTATTACAACGGTGGTTTAGCCAATCACTTTCTAAACCCTCTTTTGGTAATTTCAGTCGTTTGTTTTGTTAAAAAAGGTATAGCTTTCAATCGTATTTCCGTAGTTGATTGATTCGAGTTGGAAAGAGGAAACTTATTCATTACGAACGCTGCCTTGCAGCAATATAACAATCATTCAGCCAATTCTTCAAGCAATTTTACGCGTTTCGTTTTTTAAAAAATATAAGATAATATACAATTCCCGTTTGGTAATCGATTGATTCCGTTTTCAAAAATAAAATTTAGTACTTGGTATTGTTATCAGTTATCAGTTCGGACAGCGAATTACCTGCACATGAAGCGTGACGAAAATTATTCTCTAGTGTTAATTCTAAATGAAACTTTTGCGCACCTGTTCTTATTTATTTCCAGATCAAAGCCGTGCCGACCGGCATTTGTTCTTTAAGTAAACAAAAGCATTTATTTGACTTTGGCATGAAACTAATTGTCAATGGAAATTGCGTGGGTGGGTGGTATTAAATGTTATTTGTCACAAACTCGACAGTGTTCCTGAAAGTGGTGGTGATTTTAATATCTGATCTTACTTTTTCGTTTTCGTTCCGTTTTCAATTCGTAATAAAATTTATCTTAAACATTTAGGGATGATAGCAATTGTTTACTGATATAATAACTCAATCAAAAATGACATTAGAAAATACAAACTATAAATGTAACTGTACTTAAAATTAATAGATGTCTTTTAAACTTACCAAAGAAGGCAGTAACACCAAAATTGACCAGCATTCCAAGCAGCCCAACGAAAACATGGTCAAAAATGGAAAATGAATTTTTTAACGCCACTTAAAATCTAATTGAATCACCAGATAAGTGTTATTTAATGATACGTTGATACTTCGTTCAATTTTGAATTGGACGCTGTTGCTTCAGAAGCAACACGTTGTTTTTTTATTGTTTTGTTGTTGACCGTAATAGGTGCCGGGGTGGTTGCGAGGTGGCTTGACGCCAAGCGTCTGTTTTATATAAAACTGGACGGCGGGGGAGGATGGCACGGCGCAGGACGCAATCTTGCGCCGCGACGCGTCGGGTCGCCCTTACGTTTAGGGAAACGGCCGATCTACAGCCTACGTTGTTAGAGTAAAATGGATGTTCGGAATGCACCAGCGATAAAGTCAAATTTCTTTTAAAAAGGTAACGTAAAATTACACCATTCTTTAGTAACAAATAATTTATAAATATTTCGAAATGGGGAATATTATTAGGCATTATTTATGGACCCTAAAACAATTTGTTCTACCTTATTCCAATTCTGTCAGGAAAGAGATTGTTTTTCTTTATAACTTCTTATACAAAAAGCGCCTTTTGGTAGTTTCATTTTTACCAGTTGGTAATGCTGATGGACGAGCAGTCCTTCGGATATAATTATAGCCCTCTTCAGTTTCCTCTGAGGAATCGTGGGAGTGGGGGTGGTGGTGGTGATTGGGGATAAACAGACCAGCGAAATGAAGACAGAAGGGATATGAAAGATTGTCTAAAGAATATTACTGCCCCAACATTTGCCTTAGCACTAAACGATCCAATGAAACCAAAAAAAGCTATGATCTAAATTACTAAAGAACTAATAACTACAGCAATGCCATTAAAAGCTTAAGTTGACAAAAGAATTTGAAATAAATACTCACTAAACTCAGAAGTTTGGTAGGTACTGACGTAAGCAAACTTTCAGGGTTATTGACAGATTGAACTAAATCACTTACAAATGCTTTTAATGGAATCCAGTAAATATTTATTTGGTCCTCAAAACTATTAATGGTAATTAAATAAACAAAAAACTGTTGGTAAATATTTGTAAAAAATCAAAGAATTGTTTTCCATGCGCTAGATAATGAGGTAATAAGATATAGGGATAACTGAATTTTTTGGTACTATTTTCTTGATACAAAAAGGACACATAAATTTCGACGTTGCTTTTGTTTCTCTTTTTCTTTTTTTGATTTAAAATGGTGCAACTTTTACTTAATTGATAAACTAAATGATGTTAAAACTTAAAGTAAAAAAAAAAGAGTAGCTGACCCCAATTTGGTGGTAGCAAATGGTCCAAAAGTTGAAGTACCTACATTTTAGAGTGTCGGAATCCAAAAATGTGTACACATAGTTAGTTATTAAATGTAAAAAAGAGAGATACTCTGACCACAATAAACACGTGTTTCATCCAAACCTTATTTGGACATTTTCCATTCACACGTGTTGCAAATTGTGGTAGTTAAAGGTGAGTCTCCCTATTTTTATTTATTTGATTTCCACGTTCTTCTTTTTCTGTATTGAGGTAAAGGTTATTTCGAAATAATTAATTAACACATTAGTGAGTAAATCTAATATTTATTCCCGAATTTATCCTGAATATGATTTATTTTAAATTAGTTCCTAAAATAGAATATTGGTTATTGCCGCTACTCTTATCAAAACCGTTGAGGTCAAGAAGTCGATTATCGGAATCTGTCTAGAACAACGTTCTAAATAATATCAGAGGATTGCGCTTCTAGAAATTTCCCTATAAAATTAAGTAGTGCTCGAAACTGTAATATTTACAAAAAGTTCTGCTTTTTTTTAACAAATTCTCCAAAATGAAGGCTCTAGAGATTTTTCTATTGCAAAATGAACCAGAACTGCGAAAAACTGTTGAGTATTCGGGTTTGATAATCATAGTCATAGCCATGATCCATCAGGATTGCTTATTTCCCTACGGCGAGCCCACAATGCAGTCATTTATACGACGTTTCGTCAGATGCTAGCATCCTCAGCGAACTTTTCGAAGGCATAAAATCATTCGCTGGGTTTGTACCGAAACTGCCTTATCCCTGAAAATGCCAACTTGGTACTTGGCGAAACGATGGATAAATGACTCCAATTGTGGGCTTTTTAGGAGGAGAATCCAATCCTGGACCCCAATCCAGCGCAATCTATGCTAACCTAACCTAACCTAACCTAACATAACATAACCTAACCTAACCTAACCTAACCTAACCTAACCCGGTCAAACTTCCGCCATGCTACCTTGCCGTACGTTCCCTTCCTTACCAACTCACGACAAACGTTTCGAATTTGTCCTTAAGTGATCGAGAGTGCAATTGTGACGTGTTCGGGTTTTAACCACTGAACTCCCTGGCGTGGTGTCGTTTTGTGCGAATGGATGAAATATTAATTCTCAAAATGCAAGGGAAATGCGATAGCGCGACTCCGCCAGAGTTACCTACCCCTCAGTTTAACAAGGACGTCACCCGTCTCATGCAATTGTGATTTACGAATCCCGTATCGATTAAACCAGACCAGAAAACGCCTCCGGGGAATCCAGACACACGAGTTGTGTCTTTAAGCAAAAATCTCTGCTTATTTGTTTTTTTTTATTTCGTCTTACCAAAAGACTGAAAGTAAATCCAAAGAGCTCGTGTCAGAAAACTAATAAACGTGATGAGAAAAGGGGTTTTTTTACGAACATGGGGGATCCTTTGTAAGGGAATAGGAGAACTCGAGAAAAGTAAAATCGGTTCCCTCAAGTTTCTATATTATTTCTATTATTAAAGCATCCCACACAGAATCATTTTTCGAATTTTTAAAATATTTAATTCTATCATTAATGTTTGAAATTACGTATCTCACGCTGTACGTCAATGATCAAAATACACTGATCATTCTTCAAGCTAATTTTTATTTACTGTTAAAACTGTTACGATGAATCAGATAAAAGACAGCAATTATTACAGTTTCTATTCAATTAGCCAGTCTGTCGTAGTATTTCGTAACATTGGCTTGTCCTATTTCATCTACTGATCGCTAGAGGGATACAAAGTGCCTCTTTTAAATTATAGAATCATTTTATTCAAAAGCAAAACTCAGTATAGTACATTAGTCCAGACAACGGGGAAAAAATATTTGAGAAACTTTTGGAAAAGGCAAGGTTTTATTGAGGTATTTTGTATAAAATAAAAAATTTTAGGATTCTTCACGTCTTTAGACGAGTGTGGCTTGTTTTGCAGTAAGTTCTCAAAGTCAAAAATTTCCGATTTTTCGTGTTTTTCATATTACCATCTAGTAATAAAAATTATTTTTTGCCAGTCTATGAAATTAAACCGGATTGGAATTGGATTTCTTTTTTTTTATTATAAACAAGTTAATAAATATTGAATATGAGCAAGAAAAAACTTCTTTGTGTCAATTTGTTAGTCTAGTGAATTTATAAAAACAAAGCAATAAAAAAAGCAAATCCAAAATGGTAATTTTAAAAATCTATGAGCTTGCTGCTGCTATCTGATGGTTGTAGAAAGAAATACGTTCTGTAAAGAACAGATTTCTACAACGAAATGGATATATCATAAGTGAAGATATTTACCACTAGATGTTGCATGAATTTCAATTTTGTACATTTTGTATATTTTAGTTTCTATACTTCTTCAGATGTCGCTGTATGTTCCTTTTTAACAGTTCCAACATTTATTTAAAAACAGGAAAAAGGCTAAACCTTCAATATGCTAAACCTGTAGCATTAAAAGCTTAGCAGTAGAAATCTTGTTTGTAACTTATACTCTTGAATTTGTTTACTATTACCAAAAACAGAGGATAATTTGTTACTGATAAAATATTTATCGTTTCACCTCACTATCTAGGTAGTTATTTGATTTCAGTATTATTGAAAAGTATTACATTGAAAATAGGATTTCTAAATATTAAACAAAAACAAAATATCGTTTTTAATTGTAAATTTAATAAGAAACTAACACAAACATGTTACGAGAATGACCTAAATAAATATGTACAATGGATAAACATATTTACTTTCTTCGTGTTTATTATGTACGGTATTTAAAAGTGGGTACATATTCTTTTTAGGGTTCGCTGTACGTCTGTCTGTCTATCTGTATGTCACAGTGGATTATCTCGGCAACTTTAATCTTCTTTCTCAGCTATTAGCGACTTATTAAATTGCCATGGTTACTCACAAAGATTTTGTAAATAGTTTTTTGATTATTGCTAAGGGAATCCTAACTGGGAGATCGAAATTGAAAAGTAGATCAGAGTGGAATGGGTGGGACAAGGGATGAGACCCCTAGCTGCCGTAAAGATGACAAACTAAGCCATAAGTACTGTGTAATCTCATTTAAAAAATCTGACCGTCCCTACTACCAGCGTTTCTATACATCCTTGCCGTATAAATTATTAATTAATTATAAAAAACAGCATAATTCATGCAAAAAAACATCAATTTATTAAAGAACTTTTCTTTGGGACAGCTGGTACTCAGAACAAAAATTTTAAACTACAGCTACCAGATTTAGTAGCATTTGCGTAACAGTACCAACTGGGGATGTAGTTTTTTAATGCCCGACATACCGGAAACTTCCCCTTCGTCCAGTTAGATGTAAGCACAGGTAATAATATTCGCAATGTGACATTGACATGCGGATGTATGCATGTCTTTGACATTTTTTTCGTTAATTTTCTGTACACTGCTTAGGAATCCCCAAAAATATAGATATAAATCTTTTTAGTTTACTCTTTACTTTCGACTTCAGAAATTTTGCTTCGCTTTGTGATATTCACCGTTACCTTTTTACTTTAAAGTAAAGAGGTACTTCACGCACCCACAGTTGCGCCGCGTGGGCGATAGCCCATTTAGCCCATACATAAGTGCTCCACTATTTGGTAAAGTATCCAACAAGGACCTTCAGTTCACGTATCTATCAAAATCGCATTATACTGATTATAAGTACCAATAACAATGATTGTTGAATTTGAAAGGATTGGACGCTACATGCGCAAAACAAATTTATGCATTGCGATTATAGCGACGCAATTTTCAAATGGAAAACAAACGCATTAATTTTCTTTATAAGCGCAAAGTTGTACACAATGGATTTTTCCATCAAACAAACACACAAAACTTATTCGTATCATTATTATTATCTAATGCGTATCTAATGCGTACAAACATATGGTTGATCTT